TTCCCCACCCTCACCATCATGGCTGATTATAGCATTTGATTCTGAGACCAGTCCACACAACCCCAACTCCGCCCACCTTTTCCTCCAAAATTGCCGTCGAGCGAGAAAACGAAAAATCGTCCCTTCCGTTGCTGTAACATTGACGCTGCTTCCAACCTTGCGAAATACGACCTCCCCCTCTTTTCGATCACCCAAATACGACCCCCCCCCCACCCCTCGTTGGACTCTGTCCAACGGACAGGTTGACCTTGCTCAAGAAACGAGAAGGGGTTCCCCCACTCCATAGAAGGAGCGATAATGTCATCAAATGTATTTTTCATCTTCAGGGAAATTGGTCACAGAAACTTTCCCACGTGGATAGCTTGGGGAAGTGGAACAGAACGATATGTACAGATGTTTCAAGACTTCATCGACAGGTAAATAAGCCGTTTCATTGAATTTGAACTCAAAAATTCTACTCTCAAAGGTAATGGGTACAGTAACTGTGACTTTGGGAACTGTGTGGAAGTGACTGTCCAAAAGGGGAAATGACTTCTATAAAGGCAGGCTAGGTGTCTAAACCGACGATATATGACGCTGCTTGCAGCGAAAGATGAGCTTGGAGCGACTCCTCAATATTGTATGCAGTTTTTGTCCCGCTTCAATAGGTAGCTCTGCCCAGGGTCAACCGCCCGTTGGAGAAAGTTCTACGAGGGGTGGGGGTCGTAAGGGGGGGTTGGTGGAAAAAGGGGGTCGCATCTCGCGAGGTAGCGAAGTAGCGTCAATGTTACAGTAAGGGAAGTTGAACGGAGAGTGGATTATTGTAGGTAGATTGTAGATTTATGCCATCGCCGAGGGGGCATTATTACATCCGCCCGGCGATGCAGCGCGGAGCGGTGGTGGTGTGGGGGACGGATGTCGTGAGCGGTTGATCCCGTGAGTGGGGCGCCGTAGTATGGGGCCTCGTAGAAGGGGGAGGGGGGTCACAACATTTTGAAATTGACCCGGACGGTTGACCCTGGCTCTGCCGGCAAGGATTGCCCAGCTGTCTGCGCAATTGCCTTCACTGCAGAAGAAAACGCCCACATTGCGCATATGTAGGCTACCGTAAGAACTCGTACCAGGTCACAAAATGGACAACGAAATGATGAATAAATCATTTCGGAGATTGTTGAGCTGTTCTTCTCGACTTGTTTTTCGCCCACTTATTCATTTAGCGCATTTTCGATCGCTTTGCATTTTCTGTCTTTAGACCGATTTCTCAATTCAGGACAGGATTGAAGTAGGTGGAGCAGAGGTTGCATCGTGCCGCGATAACTTGATCAGAAAAAGCAACAGAATATTTTTTCATAAGTTTCAAAGGCGCCGAGTTGCGCAGTACAAAATTGGTGGACTGGACCCTAGCCTAGTTCAACCGGATTGCTTTTCATGAAAGACATGCCCGTCTAGGACAGTTGAACTACGGACTAGGAATTCAGATGTACAGCGCGGTTCATTTGGAAGGCCGCATCCCAGCTTACTCCCTCTTCTCCCTCCCTGCCCCCTTCCGGCAATATTTTCACTAAAAGTTCAAGGCGTGGTACATCTCATCGTTCCAGTTTCAACAAGTTCCTACGCTTCTGACGAAGAAAGAACATTCCGATTTTCGGTTTTCGTTCAAAATGTCAAGATTTTGAAGAGGAGGAACGTAAGTATCCCGGTCTGGACCTTGACGTCACGAAATTTGCGGATTGGACGGAAGAGGAAATGATTCAGGTACGTCCGAATAGATGCGCATTCTAATGAAAACGCAATTACTAAAATTCAGTACCTGTCCGGAAATCTTCGAGAACTACGATTCGATGGGCCGCGGTTTGAAGGAACCCCACAGCGGGATGGTTTCAAAAGACCGGCCGAGGTAGATTGGGCAAAAGCCGGAAAACTCACGCCGGTTAAGGACCAAGGTATATTTGCTGAGGACGCTTCTCAGTATTGACGGAATCATTCGGAATTCACTACAAACTTGATTCTGTTAATAACCGTGTATGTGTTTTTGAATGCTGGTTGATTCCAATGACTGAGATTGCCTGTAGTAGCTCGTGCATTATGTTTGTCAATCCATGATCATTTGAAAACAGCCGAACAAGGACAGACTTAAAGCACAGTCCCACAGGGGTTTTTACTTCGACACTAATGGTGTGGAACGATGCGCTAGCCCTAGTCAAGAACATAAGAAGTGTGACTGAACAAAAAACTCACCTTGGAAAGCCGCTAGAAAGGGAGCTGAACGCTCGAAGTGGGCGTGGTTGGAAGTCGGCCGAGGGATTGCAGCTGATTGCAACCACGCCCACTTCGAAGCCGTTCAGCTCCCTTTCTAGCGGCTTTCCAAGGTGAGTTTTTTGTTCAGTCACACTTCTTATGTTCTTGACTAGGGCTAGCGCATCGTTCCACACCATTAGTGTGGAAGATAAAAACCCTGCTGGGACTGTTGCTTTAATGGGCTCGCATTCCAACCCTATCAACTTACGGAAGATGCAGCGCCTGTCACTTCTTCAGGCTTCACAGGCCAGTATACGTCTATTACATGGTAGAGGGACCATTTCCACGATAACCGGCGTGGTTGTGAGAGCGCTGAAATGATTTATGAAATTGGATCGCATGGCGGTCGTCAGGTTAGCTATCTCAAAAAAGCCCGCCCTCTCAAGTTCCTGCGTCGGAGGGACCTCTGCACCACGTAAGGATATATCACACACATGTTAGAGCCCCGTACTGAATTCCAAAGGGATCAACGTAAAACCCACACTGAATTCCACAGGCATCAATGTGAGAGCTTAGAAAAAACGCTCAGAAGCAAATAAAAGTATTTATAAACATGACCTCCGATTCCGTTAAGCTCTCTGAGGTAGGAGGTCGTAATTCGCGTGCATGATCGTAAAGGACAATAGAATTTAGTTAGAGTAAAGAGGTTCTTTCTGATATTATTTATGAGAGTGTCTGAGGAAGTCCTATGAAGTTCTGGGAATTTACGAAAATCCGTAATTTTGATCATTGGTATTATTGTTCGGTGTTCTCCTCTAACTCCCCCGTCATAGTTCCCATTTTCTCACTCCACCGACTTTTTTACGGACTTTTGTTGTAAAAGCGAGATATAACATCAAGGACCTGGAAACACAGGTGAGTCGTCGGACTCCAGCTGGGGGTGGTGTCAGCCCTGAAGGAGTGGGGCCCGTACTGGTTTCCGCCAATGAGTTGTATTAGCCAAATTCCCCCCGTGACTTACCCTGAGTCGAAGTAGCGAATTATCATTTCTCAGCTGATCTATTGGTCATATATTTGCACAATGCTCTATCCAGTACTCAACCGCACTGATGAATGAAAACGAGCTCTTGGGGCCCTCTAGCGATTATACACATTGGAGTTCAACCAGCACTTAAATTACCCGTCTACTCTGAGAACATTCAAGGGCAATGCGGTTCGTGTTGGGCATTTGCTACGGTGGCGTCCGTTGAAGCCGCAAACGCTATAAAAACCGGCAACCTGACAAGGCTCAGCGAACAGGAGATGGTCGACTGTGACACGCAGAACAATGGTTGTCAAGGTGGATATCGGCCGTATGCGATGAGGTGAGGACCTGTTGTCTTGAGTCATCAAAATCACTGAAAGAAAAGGACACACGAACAGCTCACCCGGTGGAAGGGGTCCATCCGAGAAGTGACATTTATTAATACTAACTACCCTGTCCTGATTGATAACACATTTGAGGTAGATCGATTCTCTTTGTGAACCAGAGCCGAAGATCCTTCCATAGGAGTGGTTATGTCATGCCTTCTATTATATAATAGAAAAGGAGGGAGTTGTATAAGGTGGAATATTTAGGTAAAATGAGGTATGTTCAGTTCAAGATTGGATGGAAGAGGATGGGAGCAGTACCCGAAAAGGTGGACTGGGACCATTGTCAGCGCTGAGAGAGTGTTTTAGACAAATTCCCTGTGCATGATATTCACACCTGATGGGAGCTATGCTACCAAATTCTCAGGAGCTCACATTATTCGAGAAACAATACCTGAGGATCTTACCGCCTCAGATTCCATTTCTCAAATAAGTCACATCCTCAAGGGGTCGCCACCACTTGTCAGTAGTGGGTATAACATCATGGTAAAATCAGATTCGATAATGATGTAGCAATTTAATGCCGTCACCAAAAAAATTGGGGTGATATGAATTGAGTGCGAACTCAGTGAGAGAGAACTCGTCCAGACAATCACTTTTTCTCTCTTTAACGAGATTAATGCAGAAATAGATACCATGGTTAACGGATGTCTCCATCGAAGTGAGTGCTAACCAGGAAGGTCTTTCAGGGCGTGACGAGCTTTTTGAAAACGGTCTTTTGCATGATATAGGGGCAGATGCGGGAACCACAGAACCATGTTTAATTTTTCCTGAACGGCCCTCTGAATACCAGAAAAGGGGGTCCCTAGTTCGATTCCTCTTGGTGACAAATTTTTGCATTTCGAGTTGACGTTCCAAAATTCGCGCAAAATGGAGTTCTGATTGTTCTGGTTGGTTCTAACTCCATTTTGCGCGAATTTTGGCACGTCAACTCGAAATGCAAAAATTTGTTACCACGAGGAATCGAACTAGGGACCTCCTTTTCTGGTATTCAGAGGGCCGTTCAGGAAAAATTGAACATGGTTCTGTGGTTCCCGCATCTGCCCCTATATCATGCAAAAGACCGTTTTCAAAAAGCTTGTCACGCCCTGAAAGACCTTCCTGGTAAGTTCCATTCCAGCGTACACCCATCACCTACCTTGACTATCATGGGATGCATTAGCCACAGAACTTCCACCACAGGCCAGTCATGAGCTGGAACAGCTACAAAACAATTGTACAGGGGATTACAAAAAAGAGGGGAGTGGGCGAAGGATTTTTCTGCTCCCAGCGCACATCAGCAATTTTCCTTGCCCTGTGTCGGTGCTGATGAAAGTCTCACAGAAGAAATGTTCTGAACTGCTCGAAAAATCTATAACCAGAAGACAGCTACTAGTAACTGCTTCATCGCCTCTGATATGAAGTCATCCGCCATCAACATCGAGTTTAGCACTAATAGCTTCACTTTGAAAAGCCACATGATTTCTTCAGTCGACTAATAGGTAAATGCTTTTCTAAATACAGCAGCTCTAAAATCGCAAGACCTCTTCCAACTAGCCTTTCTGGCAACGTCGTAGTGCTCAAGGCAGGCAACATTTTGCAGGACAAATTTTTCCGATTTAGCCCGAGTAGAAGACTGTTGTGTAGCTGACAAAGAAACGCATATACGTTCTTTAGTTATCAGTTCATACCATCCGATTTGAGTCAAAACATGCCAAGGATAAAAGTGGTGTGACACGAATACGAAAGTTTTCGTTCGATATGCCCGACAGTGAAGAAAAAAAAAAGAATCCGTCAAAACGCCTAGGTTAAGGGCTTGCTCACCTTCGTAATGCGGCTGTGCTAAGGCAATGAGAGACTGAGCGCGGAGAGGAGAGTATGAGGCGAGAGAGCGCAACAGATGAGAGGGCGCCAGACAACAGCCTGAAAAATTGCAGCTGCTGCAGCTTACTTTGCAAGGCCCTAGCGCTCTTGTCGGGTGATTTCCATGCACGGAGTGCCACATCTGTGATTGTCCTCTAGGGGTCTATCCTTCAAGCGAAGGGAATCGTTCACACGACTTCTGCCTCGGCTGTGTCTTCAAAACGAGATTGATCCAGTTTTAATTGTGAAAGGAAAGTGTTCATGATCAAGGACTAGTACTTTGCAGATTTGTGCAGCAGAAGGGCCTGATGAAGGAAGAGCAGTACCCTTACGTAGGAACCCATCAAAACACCTGTCTTCTTAAACCGGATACGGTAAGTATTCACTCAACTTTCAAAAGATTATTGAACTAAAGCCTATACGAAGAAGCAATTAAACAGGTACGAGCGCCAAAAAGGGATGTTCAGGAGCGGGTTTTCATACAAAGCCATCGTATGCTCTCAGCTAACGAAGAGGTGATTGCCGATTGGATTGCATCCAACGGTCCCGTCACATTCGGTCAGTTCCTTACAGGTTTCAATTAATTTATTGATTTTTATCTGAAACCATTTTACATTCTTTGCTTCGGACTCACAAGTTAGAGCTAAATTCCATGCTTGTTAATTGACTCAAATGAACCTTCCTCCTATATGGTAGCAATCTTCCATCTGCCTTTTAAAGCCAAGGGCGAGGATTTCTAGTCGAAATCAAGCTTCCCCCGAGAAAACAGTCACGCAAGCGGCGAGTTTAGAAAGTTCCGGTTTATTGACGAGGCCCAAGGCCAGCCCAAAAGAGCAGTATTGGCCTCCAGCCGAACCCGTTGCCTGCACCATTTCCTTTGCTGTTACTGAAAAAGGTATATTTGGGCCTCGGTCGACGATTTCCCCCCGGTTTTCCCATTGCTTGGGCGCTACATTCATCTTACGTGCACACAATAGTTCAATCAGCTCGACCAAAGACTTGTCTTGAAGGGAGGGCTCGTCCGATGGGAGTCCAGGTGACTTTGAGCATGTGCCTTGGAATCCAACGTCGTATAAACTTACGCTCTTTGACGACGATTGACTTATACTGACAGATATCTGTCGCTTAGAATGTAGAAGGTAAGAGAAGAGCTGCGCGTGAACCCAGACTGTGCGGATCCGAGCAACTGCATTTTCCCTTATCTTCATAACTTCTAGAACTATACCTTTATGAAATTGCAGTCATGAACGTGCGAAGACTCCATGTACAGCTACCGAAGCGGTATCTTTGCCCCTACAAAGACAGATTGCGAGGTGAGAATTCTTGAAAAAGTAGAATCGGAAATTTGGAAGTGGGTAAACTAAAGCGGTCCTAATTCGATTTATTTCAGCAGCATTCACTGGGCTCACATGCACTGACATTTGTCGGCTACGGTACAGAGAATGGTCAACCATTCTGGCTTGTAAAGAACTCATGGGGTACACGATGGGGACAAGCTGGATATTTCAAGTTGGCCCGTGGCCAAAACGCTTGCGGTGCTGCAAATTCGGTAGTGGGTCCAGTTATGTGAATATGAGCTGCACTTATGTTGTGTAGCTAGACAACCGTGATTATTGAGTCCTTTATGTTGTTTTAGTTTGTCCACGGCCAGTAAATCAACAAAAAATGTTACTTTGTTTTTACTGTATGTCATTACTGTGAACCAATTACGGATGATTACATGCTGTGAGATGCTCCTTTTACTTCAAAAAATGAGGACTCCGGAAATCCTAATCCAAGACCACATCCTTTGAAGTTCCCTCCGTACCCAAGCAAATAGCACCTGCGAAATTAGCGTTGTCCGTCAAACACATATATGCTCCACAGTCGTTTTTCAAGGTTCAGAGGATATACAGAGATCACAGCCAAGAAGAGAGCCCCACCATGGCCTCGAAAAGTACTGCAATAGTCACGAGTACATTCAATCGCTGCACGTTCTCCCGAATGACTGTAACTTACGGCGCATTGCTGCAGAAGTGGAGGTTTCTACGGAAACTCGGATTTCTGAACTATACGCAATGATAAAAGGATTCTGTTGCTCACATAAGTTTCATCAGTTACTATGTTTGAATCGTTCAGGCAAAACTGGGCTCATGACTGGGGCATTGCGTATTCTAGTGTTTTGAAGGGACTGACAAATTGAATATAAACATAGAAGATGAACTGTGTAAAAACCCCTTTATCAAACTGCAGATTTACGTACCTCTACGGACGTGAAGGAAATCAATTTCCAGATCACAAGAGGTGAAACCAACAGCTGAGGCAAACCCCGCCCATAGAGGTGTTCACTTCACACACAACAAGCCGGTTATTTTTTTTTGACTGGCTCTCAAACTAATTTGTGCTCCTCTGACGTAACGCATCTCTGACTGACCATCATAATAAATAAATGAAGTAGGAAATACATTTAACACACCCCCGCCCATAGAGGTGTTCTCTTCACACTCAACAAGCCGGCTATTTTTTTTTGACTGGCTCTCTGAACTAATTTGTGCTCCTCCGAACGTAACGCATCTCTGAATGACGAACAAATAAATAAATAAATAAATAAATAAATAAATAAATAAATAACATTACTGTCCTCAAAGAACTTAGTGAATTGCTTTCCGGGAAATTTCGCCGCCCTTCAAATATAAAAAATGTTTTTTCTTTTTAATTTTTATTTTTCAATATTCATAGCAGAACTTTCTTTCTTTATATGTAGTGTGTAGAAACAAGAACATCTAACATATTAACATGACGATCAAAACAGATCCGAGATACTAAGGTACGTAATAGCTTTAGGGTAATTCAAGTTAAAGCCTATTTAAAGTGCAAAATAACGTCCTCCGGGGTGGGTGATTTGGCCATCACAAGCCAATGACGTTGGGGGCAGGGCGAATGGCCAAAACTGGGCAGATGGACGTGGACACAATCACAAACAAAATGAACCGGATACCGTGGCTCCTTATAAAATCTTCTATCAAATCAGGTTAAATATTATATCAATCGATAACGACACTTAGCATTATCGGCAAACGAAAAACATCATATCATATCATATCATCATATACATAACGACTATTAGTTATTCGATCACATCCATAATATACGGTGTGATTCGTACTCACCAAGGCATACTAGTTATTATTGCTAATGGACATTTGAGTAACGGGGCTGGAAGAAAGTTAAAAAGTGCACAAAATAATAACTGACGAGGCGGACGCAAAAACACAAAGCGCACACGATTACAGTACTCTAACTCCTTGTACATAACGCACATACTTCATCCTTTGGCGCGCGCGGATCGACGAAAGCGTCAGTCGCGTTGCGGTCGCGACGCCTTATCTGACGTCTTAGGAGACCACAACGCAACGCAACGCTCGCCTTCTCACAAAGTGGAAGAATGAAGTATGTGCGGACTCTAGGCGCGATTTAAGAGATCTGATCACAGATTGTTACGGACTTCACGGAGTACAGTAGTCTGCAGAAAATAATCGGTACATTGCATGAAAATGAACAACGTGATAGTGGCAAAGGGTATCGAGCTGGCAACAAACGAGAGTTGTGGTGTGTGAAGATGGTCAAAGAGTACAGATAGGAACCGAAAAAGAAATCGATAGGCAATCAATCAATCAATAACAGCAACAACTACATAGACCGCCTATTGCACAGTATTCTCTCTAGGCAGAAGCCGTGAATAAGTAGTAGAATATGGAAATAAGTAGAATGAACGATAGGTTGCGGGAATGTCAAGTCATTGAGCAGACGTACTACTGGTGTTGGAGGTGGTCTGCACGTTCGCACGATGTTCAGCGCTCTCACAATGCGATCGATAATCAGCCTGCGTACCCATTTTGCTCAAGCATACGGTACACTCGTAATGAATTTGTACCAGTGTGAAGACCTGAAAATAGAAAGGATAAAAAGAGAAACAAAAATAATGATCTCGAAAGCTAGATTAGGATTAAATTGATGCGGTAATTCCTACTCAAATATGAAAGTAGGGATGGGAGGTGGACTGCAAGTGGAGAAAAAAGGGAAGAAAATCGTGAAAAATGCAGAAATACGAGCTTCTTTGCTCTACGCTGCGGAGAAGCCTAGAGGCCGGCGGGCCGTAATAAGACTATGTGGTCATGTGAGATGGATTAGAGAAGTTCGAGATAGAGAGTATAAAAGCAAGCGTAGCAGATCAAATACTGCGAGCAAATAGATAGCAAACGGTGGTCGAAACGTGATATATTTTTTGGTGAGATTTGATAAAAGTTCTTAAAAGCCTAGCGTCTTCTTGCACGCATTCTGTAAGGCACGAAGGGGCGCGTACAATTCGGCAGAGGCGCGCACAACCTCAGGGTCAACCGTTACGTTGGACCGACGTTGGACCGACGTTGACCGCTCTCCGCGCCGGCATTCGCACTCGCCTTGCGCGAGCCGTCTGTGTCTCCGTGCGTACGTTCACTCTCGGCATTACTCTCACACGCTAGAGAGCCATGCGTTGGACTTTGTCCAACGGACGGTTGACCCTGGCACAACCCTTCCTTCTTGGAGTGACTAAACCGTGACTGAGCCCAGACCTTGCCTTTGAAAGGTAGCGTTTGCGATCAAAATGAGGTTTAAGAGACGAGTGTCTCAGCGTTTGAAGGACATATTGCTTGACTCATCCCAGCTTGAAGGCGCAGTGAACTATGAAAAGGCAGTCTAGTAGAAATCAAGTATCAGAAGTGGACAGTAGTGCAAAGACGGAGAAAAAACCATGGAAGGTTCAAAACGCTGGAAATTGAATCCCTTTTCCTCACTGTTCACACTCTCATCGGTGCTGCCCTCTCCAGTTTTAATGTTTTATGTTCGTATACGGCTAAGTGAGACCGGAAAGAGGGGCGTTCCGTGGCCGAGTCGGAACCGTATGGCTTAATAGCCGTGGGACATGTTTCGGATGCGATCATTGAAAATGGCCACAAATGCGAGTAGCTCTTCGTGTATGAACTCACTCAGGTTCATGGACTCTCAAACACTGCTTCTAAATCATAGCAGGCATATTGGGTTTAGAAATAGCGTGCATTTGGGTTTAGAAGGAATGAAGTTGAATGCTCGAATTTCTGTGAAAGGCTACAGCCCAATAATCCATTTCTTCAATGAAGAAATTGCAGCAAGCCTTTGTACTACTCACCGCGTCCGTTCCTTGACAGACAGTTCGTTGGTGATTCTTCAAAAGAGCCTCCTGCTGGAAGACATTTGTGCAAGAAGGACATGCCCACCCGACCTGGAAAAAACATATACTGCATCTCATTTTATCGATTCCTTTACCTAGCTCTTAAGTATGGCTACCGAATGGATAACAAGAATACTTAGCGCTGTACTCGCCAACTGGTTTATTTCGAACAGGCTTTTTTTATCAGGCCGTGGGTCTATCTTATGAGGCCGCTCCGGGATCAGGTGCGCTTATCTGTTCCTTACCTGCGAGCAATAGACAGGCGAACAAGCGTTGATGTCGCGCCCCTTTTGCGGCTTGGAAGTGCGGGACGAGGGCGCTTTAAGCTCGTCCATCCGCAACACACACCTTTGTCCCAAGCCGCTGCATCCCGATGGTCAGTTGCCATGTGAAGGTGCTCGAATAACGCAGGAGTAGTTGAGGCAGCGTTGCATTGCGGCGCAATGTCTTGGCACTGAGCAACTAAAGCTAGTTTCGTGAAACTCCCTTCTCTTTTCCAAATCGCCTCCCACCTCTAGCTTCACACTAACTAACGTTTTCCACACTCCCGTCACGCCGAAAGCTTGTCCTCGAGCTGGTCGTCTTATCGTGCTCGATGAAACCCGTGGCGGCCAATTGGATTGGGTAGGCCTTCATGTTTCGGTCATTCCGTACTGGTCTAGCAGTTCACGTAATTAGCGGTCTGGGCCCCGACTGTGCATGATCGCGCCACACTCGACGTCACCGAAGCTTGCTAACCACCTGCTCAGATACAAAATTTTGCATATCAAGGCTGTGAATTGAACTATTTCTATCGAACTTCTAGATTCGCTCGACCATTTCGTCTGTCTGGGACTGCAGGCCACGTTCCTTTCCGGAACGGAAAGTCACTCAAAGGCATGGGTCGACATAACAAAGCAACCTCCACCACTAAGTATCTGGGACTTGAACGGAGTGAAGCCACGGCTCAGCTGACATTGGAACGCGCTTGCCGACTCTCCTTGGCCTAAATTTTTCACGGCGATGTCCGCAAGGCACTTGTCTAGACTTGCCTTCACCACTGGGAGGTGGTACCTGGTTGGCATACGTCCTGAAGTTTATTAGCAGGGTCAGTAGCCTTATTGGTGGCTGGCACCGAGCCAGCAATGGCTGGCAAGTCTACAAATTCGTTTCGACATGCTTTCTGCTCGAGCCAGCCTCCTTTGCTGCTGTTGGAGAGAGGTGTTTTAATTTCGACCTTGTCAGCGGTTTCTTCCTGGAATTCTTTCTTCACTGGCTTTCCATTCGCTCTTTTCGCGCGTCTAATTTCGAATGCGCATTTCTGCGCGAGATACCCCAAACTTGATCCCGACCCGTGCCTTCAAGGTATGAACGCAGAAAACTCGAATTGAAAGTGACTTTGTGGTTTTTATTACTGATTGGTAAGTCCACTAGCAGCCTTTTTATAGCACTGAGAAATCAAAATACTCGCGGGAGGGGAAGAAGGGAGAGGTGAAAGGCGAAAGAAGCTCAAATATTATTTCAAAGGTCCCCCCCCCTTCCCCACCCCATCAACTCTTCCCTTAGTTGCACCTTTTATTTGATGTTTCTTGATAACGACGTGATTCGCCTATGATGTCACAGCCCAGCCCCTTACCGCTGACCTGTTCTTCAGATCCCTTCTTTTGGTACAGGGACACCCTTGTTAGGAATTAATATCTAACGTCACTCCTTGCCAATCACCGGGACACTTTTTTCTGCATTTTGCAAGGTAACGAGAGAAACGGTAAGACAAAAATGTGTGGAATGGTCATGTTCTCAGTACCGTATCACTTTGGTGTTGTCGTGCCTTTTGCGAACATTCGAGAAGATTCTTAAACCGATTATCATTGGGTGAGCGGTGACGGTAGTGTGAACCAGTTCTTAGACGAGATAGTTCGGTATCCTGTATGGTGGAATGGGTTCCTAATCAATGATTTGCTGATTTTCACGCTGCTAATTTAAAAAATCAATAGGGTTCGTCAAAATATGTATTAGCGCAATCCTTCCTGGCAAATCACGCAAGATACAGAACTTGAAGGTACCATTTGTGAGCTTCAACCAGCCCAAAGGACCTGAATTTGTCTTCGATTTGTGGTAAAGATCTCACCTCGACTTCCTTGTGGCAAAGTGTTCGAGCATCTTCAGCGTCCAGTTTCTTTCGCAATCATCAACTTCAGATGACTCTCTTGAGTGAATCTGAAAAATGGGAAATATTAATAGGTTCAGAACATGTACACTTTCAAGGGTTCAACGGCCAAGTAAAGCAATATTTGAGCAATAGTTCAGTCCAGCTCGAGCTTTTGATTGGGTGAGCCTTACGAAAAGCTACACGTAGAACATCAAGTATTAGATCAGAAAAGGGTAATTATTTATTTCAAAAGATGCACACGAATTTGTGACGCTTTGCACAAACGGGTTTACAATACCTTGAAGTTTTTATCGACACATATTTCGCAATGAAATTAGTTGGGCCATTTTCATCCGTGAACAGAAGAGAGCAGCTGTGCCCTTCCCTCAGCTCAAAGCTGCCTAAGGGCGCTAGGGGCTGCTGAGTGCTCTGGTTAAAGTAGTATATGTATACGTAGGCCTTCGTTGAGCTCGTCGGCGATAGCCGGTAGGTTGGCTCTACACTTCAATGACGTTGAGTACACTGGATTTGCTTCTGTTAGTATCGAATATTTCGGAAATGTTTTTTCTTCCCCAGACATCACATCAGTTTTAAACACGTTAGGGAAAGACCCGATTATCCCCGCCATGCCTGCACGAAACGTTCTCCTCACCATCCTAAGCGAAGTTATGCTTACTTGACGCGCGTAATGGCCAAGAAATTTCTACCCTCCCCCAATTTAAATATTCCGAAAAGCTCGTCAGTCGAGAAAAGTTATGCAGTCGAGCAGCAGCGAGGAACGTCAAAGCTCACACAATTTAAGTGGTGTCAACCTTTTTCCTTCTTCTACCTCATCACTTCCTCTTTCTTTCTCAACCCATCTGTGTCACCAACACATAAAACGTTATAGCTTTCTATGGCGAGTAGGATCTGAACGTGTTTTTCGAAACTGATGATATGATGCTTTTCTAGCGACTAGCCAAAAAGAACCTAAGAAATGACTAGTATCCGTCAATAAATTTACGGTACTGCATGATGTTGGGTAATTTTACCTTATACACCCTTGAAAACAGTAAATCATAAACAATCTACAAGTAAGATTTCTGGAATTCCTTCAAGACTCATCGTTACCAGCCACGCATTTTGCGAAAAAAGCTACCAAATGTTTGGATATCGATGGATCCACTTTATGGTCGTAATTGCTGGGAAAAAGCATGAATTTCTGACTGCTAGAAATTTGGCAACTAGCCAATCATCCTCACAATCAAACTATTATAAATATTTTGTGTATGCAGCTAACAAGAAGTTGCCTCCATGTAATTATTTAGTTTGCACTCTCTGACTTATTTGGCAAGGTTATCTATTAAGACCCACCTTGTGGAGGAAAGACCGGCAGTGATGTCCGATTTGAATTCGCATTTTTACAGAGTCAGGAATCTGAAGCATAGACACCGGTGTGCCGAACATAGCCGGATCGTAGACCAGAGGAAGCGCTGGAAAATATTGCAACTTTCGAGAAACCTCTCACGCAACCCCCAAACTACCATACCTCCTGGCATCATCCCGTTCATGAAACTGAATGGGAACCCGTTTAGATTAAGACTGCTCAATTGTGACGGCACGGTGGTTTTGGTTGGCCTGAAAGTGATATGAATTGCGTGTTGTGCCTGCAAATCAAGGACGTCTACTACCGTAATCGGAACTGTTGTGTTGCGCACCTTGCTGGTTGTGGTCGCCGTTCGCCACCGTTCTCACTAGGGAACGCGGCCGACGGGGTTTCCACTGGAGCAGCGTCAACCCTGAGCTGCGCTTTGAGGCCGTTCAGATGTTGCAGAGAGAACAAATGGTCCTGTAGCGTTATCCGTCCGCCATATTCCACACCACACATTGTACAGGACGTGGACGTCGATCGATTCACCTCTTCCTCACCTGAAACTGTGACTATAGATTGGGCGCCACATAACTGCACAATCGTCAATGGTAGCACCCTTGAAAAGTACTCAGATGTACGCTTACCGGTGGCTGACCGTGTCTTGCGTTCCTTGGCTCGAGCGTTTTGGAACCACACCTGCACCACTCGCTTGTGCAACCCGATTTCCCGTCCCAGGGCCTCACATTCCGTCATCGATGGAGTTTTGTAGTCACCGAACACGCTCTTCATCACCTAAATCCGCGATTTTTGAATGGAGAAATCGTCGAATCATTGTAATTATAATATGTAATTACAGTAGGAGTAATTGAGGTTCAGTCGGAACAAAGGAAACGTTTAGGGATTTTTTGAGCAGCAATTTTCCTTGGCTTTCTTACAACAACTGCCATTTATGAACGGAAATCGGAACAAAGCGTGCACGCAAATCCCGCCCATTTGGGTGCAAATCCATCCCACTGACGATCTTCCCAATTTCTGGGACAGATTGAGTACGCCGCATGGTTCACAGCCTACTCGTGGATGAGACAGACTGCTTACCGTGGCTGGTGTTACCGGGGCGTCCCCCAAGAGGCCGTCGCGCGGCGAAGGAAGAGACGCAGATGCGGCAAAGGACGAGTCGTAGTGGTACACTCTATTTAACCTGACGCCTAACCGCTACAGTATGCGCTGCGACTCGTCCTTTGCCGCGTCTGCGTCTCTTCCTTCGCCGCGCGACGGGCCTCTTGGGGACACCCGTATTACCGAATGGTTACCGAATAAGGTAAGCCGCACTGCAACTGCTCGCATCAGAGACCAACAGTTTCAGTTATTGAATGGATGGGTTCCTTTCTCAAAAGGAAGAAAGATTAAGCAAGGATAAGAACTGGGCTGTGGAGCGCATGCCCTGTCTCCTTTAAAGGGGGTGGGAGTGTTCTCCCAATATTGTGTTCACCTTCCTTAACACAGGGTGACGTTCTGGAACCCTTACCCCACGAGTTCTCTACGCTTTTCACAGTCCGAGCAACGTATAGCCCCGAAGAGTGCTCAATGACGAAGAGTCGCAGCGGCCGATCCTACAGCGGAGCCTTTAATTCCCCTCTCCTAAGTCAGAGGAGGATATGTAGCATCCAAAGTGAAGACCCGTTAGAGCACATCCTAAAAACCCTGCGTCATCCTAAATGGGACCGTTTGCTTTCGTTCCCCGCTTTAAAAATTCCTTGCTGCTTCTTAACTAATATTATCAGAGTGACTGAACCCACATGAACTTGAGTGGGAGTGAGGTGAGTACGATATCGCTTGTTGCTAGTCGGTGACCGAGATTGTGACGAGCTACCGGCATATGAAGCAGGATTCTCCTCGATGAACTCTGTCGGGTCGTCGTCTGATTGGCCCAGAAACGGTGACATCGACAAGGTGTCGCGTCTGCAATTGCACAACCATGAGATTACAGTAATCTATACAATCGTGGCAAAAACTTACTCCTGAGAGGCACTGCTCAGATCAAGCGCACCGGCGAGATCTTTGTTTTCGGTGGTGTTGGTGGGGGGAATGAGGACAGGAACCTGAACAGGAACGGAGATATTCTGTCGAAGGTCGCTCGTAGATGACGTGGCGACGCTTACGTCTTCAGCATTTGGCAGTAGATCGACATCGACCGGGGTCACCGAGTGTTGCTGGGGATGTCGCGCTGGGATATGCTCCTGGAGTGATTGACGGCTACGGAACAACAGCCCACAAAACGGGCATCGCTTGTGAAACGTAGACGACGGAGAGGTGTTTGCCGATTCACACTGGAAGTATTAGGTATTTCGAAACTGCCCAGGCTTAAAGTATAACTTCCTTACCAGCTTCAGAAGCGCTTCAGTACTCGATTTACTCGCACCGAGAAGTTTCGCCAGATCGGCTGGTTTGGCATCGCTTATACTGGCGAGAGCGGTCTGTTGGATGAGCTGGGCCTTCTCCTCGTCCGTGAGTGACTCCTCAACGATCTGAAACCACAGCTCTACCGTTGGACCATTTACTTTGTCGTGGCTAGAATTCATGTAACCTACTACTAACCTTGTTGTCATTCGCCTGCGCCTGGCAGTCATCCTTGTAGCACTTTTTCTGTTGATGTTGAATAAGCTCGTAATAACGTTGGAAGACTAGACTGCACCTGAAAAAGGAGCCCTGTAGAAGATTACTACGACCTAGGCTAGCAAGTAAACAGCTGAAAGTTATAGTGCTCAGCGTTGGTATGTTCCAGCTTTGATCAAT